TGTCTGAAAACCTAGCACTCTAGAGTTACTGATTACTTAGCAGAGATGAATGAAGTGCGATAGCTAGGGAGCGGGACTTTAGTCTTAGACCGCCCGGGTAGGAAAGACTAGAACAGGAACAACACAGGGAAAGGCACCGACACACAAGTGTGTCGAGTACCATTTCCCTATGTTGCCCTAATTAGGTGGGGAGTAGAACTCGGCTGGGGGGGGGGTTGGGAAACCTGCCTGACTGCATGACTGCAAGGGGAGTACCGTTTTATAGCCCGGCGGCTGTGGTGGTTCACCGTTTTTTGGCCCGGCGGCCGTGGAGGCAGTAAATTCAGTTAAGGTGGAGGTGAATTCCAGTGAAATTCCGGTGAGCGGTGGTGAGTTCCGTTAGTGATTTCCCAATGAAACGGCGCCTCCTTGCGGAGGATCACACTCAGCACCCGAGTGGGACGGCTGAGCGAAACACACTCTGACATTGGTTTTCAGTTACACTCAGTTCCCAAGCTGAGAAGGAAGGTGAGAGAACGGAAAGGTGGCAGAGTCCGCGGAAAAGTATTGTTTAACATTGTTCACCAGTGCACTTTAGTTAACTACGATTACTGCAATTTAGACCTTGACTGAAAAAGAAGTGCTGAGTCCGTCGAACAGTATTGTTGAAAAACGTCGAGTTAAACAATTGAAAGGCAGGTACGTCAGTGCTGGCCGGGCACTGATATCACATCCACTTGGTGCGGTCTTTGTTAGATGAGGCACACCAAGGGATCCTCATCCCCCTGCTTTAAATTAAACTGAACCCTTGGAAACAGGGTTTGGCACACACACACACACACACTTGAGGCAGAGCCCTGAATGAGCACAGCACAACGAGATTCAGAGCCCTTTACGATCTAGTTAGTGCAGAACGACCTCGCAAACCTGGTAATGGCCCTGAGCAAACAGAAAGGCGAAACGTCAGAAACAGTATCAGTATGTATGGTTTACATTCGTCATACCATAGCTTCGTTGCGTGCGGTGGTTATGACCAGCCAGATGCACCTGCTTCTGTGCAGAAGATGAAAGAAAGTCTTAAACGAAATGGTGAATCATCTCTGGAAGTGGGGTGTGCCACACACACACCACACAAAACCACGGAAGGGATTGCATATGAATATAGCTCTTAGACAACACGGAACTTGTTTTCTCAGGCTTTGCACATTCTGTAACAGTGCATTATGTGATGTGATGTGATGTATGTAAGATTATGTAAAGATTGTATAGAGATTTGCCATGCAAGCAAAAGCTCTTGCGTTTGTGGGTTGTCTTTCGCGTTCACCTTGGGTTTCACGCAGAAGATGAGGAGAAGATACCTTCGAAAAAGCACCTGGAAGTCCTGCCCGTGAGCCACTTGACAAAGCAAGAGTGCAAGAGGTTCTGCAGAATGCTAGCTGAACCAAAAAGATTACATGCTATGGCAATGCGTGAAGCCGGTGTGTTCGGTGTGCCGGAAAAGCAGCTTGCCCAAGGCAGTCAAACCCAAGGCCCGAAATCTAGAGCCCTTCAACCATTCAACAGCAGGATTGCAACAGGTCGATGCAATAGATCACGCGCTTGCCATTCTCAAGCTCGCATGATGCATCACCAACCACGCAGATAGCCATACACATCTAGCGGCCAGAAAGCAGGATTGCATATCGTTGCTATATCCGCTGCTATATCCACCGCACACAGATGTCCTCAATTTCATGCAGGTTTGGAGCACGCATCCAAGCATCCAGGACTTCCAATCCACCGCGTCCGAGCCCAAGGCTTTCCTCCGGAGGAGCCCAACCCTCGCGAGCCGGAAGAACTGAGCGGCCACCCGGTGACGAGCGGGGCGGGTCCGATGTTTCACACCGTAGAGGTCACGTGGTCAGGGGCGGATCGGAGGAAGTTTCGAAAGGTTGAAAGGCCCAAGAAAAGGCTGATTCATCATGATAGATTTTTGGAGTTAGATTTGGTCAGTGGTTCTGCGCTTCGAGGACCATCACCTCAAGGTGCGTGGCGCCACAACCCAGTCATTGATTATTGAGTTGCTTGACCCCACAAGGGAGGCTTCTGACAAGATGGTTCCCATCGCAACACAAGTTTGGTTGACTACTCCCTCAGCCCGCTTTGGGATCGAAGAGATGTTCCTAGTCCTACGAGCCCTGAACGTATTGATCCCTGGTTGGGTGGTCGCGGCATGTTGAAAGCCTTTGAAAATACGTGTGGGTGTTTTTCAAAAATGCCCCCACATCCACCAACGACTGGCCTTGGTGTACGAAATAGGATGCCTCACGACGCAAGTGAGCATCCATTTGCTCACATCGTCAACTGAGAGAGTTCAGAGTGGAAGCAATTAGATATATTATGATATATGTATGTATTCAATTGTTTGACGAACTGGTTTTGTCGGGACATATGGACCTATGCACGACTTGACGTGCCTGGGGTAAAGAGATGCCAGGCGACATGATAAGAACGAAAAGCCCAACTAATCGGGTGGGAGATGTCGCCCACGGTCACACAATGGTTGGTACTTGTTGTGGTTGCTAGTTGCATGTGTTGCCTTCAAACACAACATTGCCTTCAGATGCCTTTTTATATCCTTTTGTAGGGGCCAAATAGTCAATCAGACTAATTGATGTTTGCTCCTAGGTTGGAGGCCATCGCTATCAAGCTCGCAAGATCTCGCAAGAGAGATCGCTGTTCTGATTGCCTTTCCTGGATCATGGGCTAGCTGCCTTGGCCTCCACACATTCATGACCTGAGGCTATCACTTCTCCTTCTTGGAATACTATCGGCGGCACAACCTGGGGAAGGAGGACAAGGGCGAACGCGGCGAACGGTGTGCAAAGGATGCGCACGAGCTGTGCTTTTTGAGCAGAAGTGCTTGGACGAGTGAACATTCCTCACGGCTCCCGGACCAACAAGGACTCACACTGACTGGAAGAATCTGGAAGAGCATTGCACACTGCCTGCTCGCACCTCATGCTGACATGTACGGCCATAGCATCCACATGGAAAATGGACTCCAGAAACCAGCTTGTTTGATTGATAATTATGTATTGGCCAGAATTGGCACATCCGTGTTGGTTTCGTGGCCAGTAGTGTGCTAGCGGTCAACTTGGCCGGCACGAGGAGACTCATTCACTAGACAGCTCAACGCAGGGTCAGGCGAATGCAGAGAGGGAGGAGGCAGACTTCGATTTGGGCCAATCATGTACCTTTTCAAAGAGGCTTTGTGTTGTTTATGCTGCATGCGGCGTGACGCTTTTTGCATAGGTTGTCTCCAGAGATTTTTTGTGTCACATGTGGTTTCTCGCAAATGTGTGCTTGGTCCTTTGATACTGTTTGATCGATTCCTTGCTTAACATACACTGAGAAGATTAGAAGTTTGCTCCTCAACAGTACTAGAGTGGTCGTGTCCAACAACTGTCATGGAGTCATGGTGTGCGGATGGGTTGCAACAATTCATGAAAGGAGCTCCACAAACGCACGCGACTTGGAGGCACTTCAGAGTCTAGCGGAGTTGTTTGTCGGAATGTGTATGTCAAGACTCGCTCATGCATCATCTAAGATGCACATATGACCTGTGCAAGAAACAGAATACATCAGAATACCGAGAATAATACCAACGGTTTGCAGGACTGCAGTGCTTTCTTGGGGGGTGATATATGCCCTCAGTTCTTTGAAACACATCGCAGAATCATGGGCCGAGGATGTCCACGCCCACGTTAACCCCACTTCAGAACAGCGAGCATGGGCACCTTGGGCGAAGCTCGCATGCTCTCCGAGTCATCAAGCTAGTAGCTTCTTGCTACTAGTAGCGATGCACCTTGCTACTAGTAACGTCTTGCTATCAGTAGAAATGCCAGGAGCTACTAGTAGCTTCTATCCACTGTTTGTAGAAGAATAGTCTTCCAGGGGCCTATTTTCCACTTCCATGATGATTTCAGGGAGTGTAAGCCCTTCCTGTCTCTTTGGCCTAAAAAAACGCCGAGTTGGCTGGTGGACATGCTTGGCCGGAATGTGTGGCGAATGGGGATGATATGGCGTTCCAAGATGCCAACGAGCTCTTATTCTAATTAAACTAGGAACAAGTGCATCGCTAGAAGTAACAAGTGCCTTAAGCTAAATTAAGTTGAATTCTAATTAAACTTAATTCTAATAGCTTCTTGTTACTACTAGTAAGGCACTTGTTACTAGAAGCGATGCACTTCTTCCTTGTAGCTTATTGTTTCTAACTTTTAATTCTAATAGCTTCTTGTTACTACTAGTAAGGCCCTTGCTCCTAATAGCGATGCCAGGAGCCCCTAGTAGCTTATGAGCCATTCATGAAACATCCACCAATCACAGTCGTGGATGCCCATACATCCTGCCCGCAGACTGCTGTTGCACCACTGAGGCTGCCGGACCAACAACAGCAACGCCTGGCCGCAGAGGCAAGTGAAGACTCGAGATGAGCCGGGAATACTGCGCAGATCAGGTAGAACATGCTGTGAATGTACTGTATGTCCGAAGAGTGCATTTCAGAGTCTGAAGCGACGTCGACGTAGGTGTCCAACAAGAAACTCCCGATCCGGCGAGGTGAAGAGCCTCTTGGCGCGGATCCGGCCCTTCGAAGAGCCTCATGAGTTGGTGAAGGTCTGCAAACGCCTCATCCAACTGCTTTCCCAAGGCGGAACTGCTGCAACCGGGCTGGGCCAAAGGGCACCACCAGGCAGTGCCTCTGAACTCCAGGAGAAACAGTTGTGAATGGGCGTTCCTTTGTGATAGTTGATGGTCTTTACCCAAACTAGTTGTTGTTTGCCATTCCGGCAGGAGGTGTCCAGCTCGAAAGCTCACCACGGATCCACACATTCTCAGCTTATTCCGGGATTCCGGGAAAAGAATCTGGCCGGTCCAGTGGCCGACAGAAAAGGATGTTTCATTCATTCTTGTCCGCGCTTTCGACCGTGGCTTCGCCAGGGCGCCACTGGGACAGCAAGGAGAGTGTGCATCAACTGGTGATGCAGCATGGCGCTGTGCCCATCGTCGAAATGTTGCAAGTCCCCGAGATCGAGTTGCAGAATTCCGTCCTCAAGGCCGGGAGGTTGGTCCCATATGGTCCTCAACGGAAGGAATAGGGTTACGTGTTCATAGGGTGAGGGCTGACCGTTGTTGTGTCGCATTCACCTTCTCTGCGCCAATCTGGGAAACTCATCTAAAGAATATACAGTATACATATATGTAATATCTATTGGAAATATGTTCAATATAGTATTAATGTATGTTTGAATAATATACGTTACTTCAGGAAATGACTCACGTTCAATGCTTCAATATGCTTCACGATGGTCTACATGGCGCTCAGGTCCAGGTAAGGGGATACAACTTGCCCAGTTTTCATGTTCTTGTTTGGCGTCCTCGTTACTAGTAGTAATGGCCTCTAACCTACTAGCGATGGCCTCCACCCAGCAGCTTCTTGCTACTAGCTTCTCTTGTGTCGACTTCTGAGATGTCCTTCTTTCAGTGGCCAATGGTTGGAGAATGGCCCACACCGCAGGGGGCGACCAGTTCAGATCGACTCGTCGACTCCTCTCGACCAAGGTCGTGAACCAGATCGTGGCTGAAGGCAATCGTGACTTTCAGGACCTTCGGACCGGACATGGGCGTGGGCGAAGCAGGTGCTGGGCGTATCTGGGCGTGCTGGGCGTGGGCGTCGAGGCAATGTGAAGGTTGGGCCCCCCTTCCTTCTCGTGGTGGGGCAGAACAGGCGGCCAGACGTGTGACGAAACGGTCAATCCGGAGTCAATCCGTGGGAAAGAGCGAAAAGTGCACATTGCTTGTGCCATATTTGTCACATCATGCTCAAAAAAAGAGGGGGAGAGAAGGAGGGGGCGGAGGGTCAAGAGAGTTTCTTTGTGCGAACCGGTATGTTTGCATGCCCTGGATGACTGATGCTGCCTTCCTTTGACCCCCATCATCCGCATCGAGAGCAAGGAGCTTTTCAGCATGGTGGGCCTTATTCCTGGCGTGATCAAGTTCGCACACACCGACTGCCAGAAATACCTCAGAGCAGAGGCCATTTTCATCCATGATCATCCATGTGCCGCATGTGCCATTGGGCAAAGGAGTAGTGCCTTTGGGAGGGAATTGGTGAAGCATGGTGGGCAGAGGCACAAACCAACTGCAAAGAAGCTGTTAGACAAGGCATTCGCACAACGCACCGTGTGAAACGTGCCAGTTGCAGGTCGGCAAGTTCATCTCCCATCTGTGCAAATCCTCGGAGAGCAGCCTTCAGATGTTGGTGGCTTGCGGTGGCCTCGAGGCAATTGTGCAGCTCATCTCCAGCGAGTATTTCTACAACCGAGACTTAGCACCTCGGCGTCACCGATTTCAAGATGCTGGTCTTTGCCTGAGGGCGCCTTCCTAGAGGTACAGTAGATTGAAGGGATGTTCTTGGAGTTGGGAAAGGTGCTTTTGCTCAACTAGAGCTTGCAGCATGCCGTTTTTGACTTCGCGTGGGTGCCAAAAGAGACACCAGACACGGTAACCCGCAATCAGGATGAGCGCTACGGCTCCGCCCTCATCTCAATTGATCCTTCCTCAAAGACCCCAACCTTTGTCACGTAAAAAGGGGCCTGATGGAAGTCTTGCGGGACAAACCCCCGCAGAACTATTGAGGTGTTCGGGCCTGGTGAAAAGGAACACAGTCTGGATAGTCCAGCCAGGTTTATCCAGCTTTGGATGACGTGAACACAGTCCTGCAAGGGAGCCACAGCAGAGACCTTTGCAGAATACTGGCCAAGCACGGCATTTGCGATCATCTCGCCTCTCGACTGGCTGCTACACTGTTAGGGGTGTATGAAAGACTGGCCTACCTGCTGAATAGACGGCGCAACTCCAAAGGCCAAGTAGGTAAATCGGTCAAATCTTCACTATGGACCTGTGCCATTTAAATAACAGATATATATATATATAGTGGGTATATATAATATATATACACTATACATTGCGCGGGGCAGGGAAGAGGCGTTTAAAAAAGTATATAATAATAGTAATATCTATATATATATATATTGTATGGTGGTCTTCAGCTCATCCTTAGGTTTTGCCACCTTGCTGCATTCTTGCCAATCTCTTCACCTCGAAGCTGTGCACCAACCAAATGTTCGGTGAGGGAGAACGAAAGACCTGAAATAAAGACCAAGGACCAATACCAGACATTGAAGGAAACAACGGTTATCTTCGGAGTTGGCAAGGGTAGATACCGTATCTGATGAGGCAACACCCCATCTTTCCACTTATTTGATGATGCCTGATATACTGTACTTGCCTCAGTGATTACACTTCGCTGGCCCGTGTTTTCGGATGTGTCAGGTGTTGCTGATTGACACCTTAGCCAGTGACATGGGCAACTACCACCAAGAGCGTGCCACGATCTACTTACGTTTGGTCGTGTCACTGCTGGTGAAAATTGCCAAGACTGGCGACGCGGTGGTGAAAGCCTACATGGCCAAGGCATGATCAGTTAGAATCGGACCACAATGGGAACAATAGAAAGGGAACGCCCTTGCTGACTGGCGCTTAGAAGGGAATAAAGGAATGAGCTCCAAATAGAGATTCCTTTGGATCCATTCCCTGATTCCCTACTAAGCACAAATCAGCAACTTGTTTCTGAGGTTTTTGTGTATGTTCCGAGATCATGTGAATGGGGGGGACGTACTCTCGCACATGGTGTTGGCTCGCCAAACTTGTATGCATATTTTGGGTGGGTGTTGTGCCGGCCCTTCAAGTGCGTCTCTATGTACATACATATTCACAGAACATCTCCAATAGTAAGACTAGCTTTTCTCATCAACTGCTCCTCAATCACCATCCTCGTCCTGGTTTCACTACAATTTCCTGCGACCGGCACTCTCAGTGGCTTGAAGGATCCTGTCATCGTCCAGGTGCGAATGTCACAAGATGTGGCACGTAGAGAGCAGAAAAGTTGTCACTGAAGCATGGTCACTGACCTTTGCAAGGTTCCATGGGCCCAAAGCCCAAGAATCGCATGCTGCATGTTCACCTTCTTCCTTTGCATACTGTAGATAGAAACTTGAGTGGACACCTGTGGACCTGGTGGTGTAGCCAATCTCAAGACTTCGAAGTCATGGAACAATTGTGCAACCAGGTGGGCACTTTTCTGAACTGCGCAAAAGGTGTCAGAAACAGGTTTTGCGTTCTGCGTTTGGAACCTGCTAAAATGACATTGCTTCTCGGTATCGGGGGTAGCCTTGCTTGAACTTCCATGTGGCAGGTGAGTTTGACAAATTTATGCTGGACCTACCCAGTCACTGTAGTCACTGGATAACCTTTCGCTTTTCTGTGTTTTTTTCTTTTAAGTGATTACCGCACAAACTCAGGGAGTCTGTAGACAAAGTTCTGATCATTCGAGACGCAGGTTGTTCGTCAGACTCGCGCGACTCGTAGGGATGAGGAAATGAACCACCCCTGTAGATACCTCTGGATCCATTCCCTTATTCATTCCTTACTAAGCTAGGTTGGAGGCCATCGCTATTAAGTTGGAGGCCATCGCTATTAGGATGGATGCCATCGCTAACAAGGGAACAGCTTTGTTGTTGCAATCCAACGCAGTTTGGAGGCCACGGTGCTGGAGGGTCTCATTGCCTCGCTCGAGTTTTTGTCCCCCCCGCTGGTCTTGGAGACACTGGGACGGCCATTTTTGTTCTTGGTGTTGATAGGTTTTAATATGTTTTAATGACTTTTAATATGTTTCAACTAATGGATACTAATGATACTAATGGGTGTTTTAATGGATGTCGACTCATGCGTCAAGAAGAAGCACCTCTATGTGGTCCACTGATGCCTTTTGGATCGGTGACCACGTCGGGCTCAGGATCTGCCAGATCTTCACGGAGCTCAGTACTGAGCCATCAGTGCTCAACATGCTGGAGAGCTTTGGAGGTGTTTTTTTAACTATACTAGTAACAAGGGCATTGCTACTAGTAGCAAGTGCATCGCTACTTATAACAAGTGCAGCACTACTAGTAGCAAATAGCTACTGGTAGCAAATAGCTACTAGTAGTAATGCTCTTGTTATTAGTAGCGATGCCCTTGTTACTAGTAGCCTGCCTGGTGTCGGGACTTGTAGAGATGTTCTCCTCCGCTACCTCTCCTCCACCACAGTGAAACAGGATCTGAGGGGTTATTGGGTTTCAATCCGCTCGCATTCGCAAGGGATCTCGCAACCTATGGTTGCTGAAGGTCCAATGCTATGGAGCTGGGCTATGCTGGCTTATATGTCCTATGAAATGAGCATCATCATCTGAAAGTACATCTATAGATACTAGAGTCGAGGTGTAAAAGCTAGGTGTAAATGTAAATCTGCGGAGTCCTGCGAGCATTTTGCAGCCAAATGTGTCCTTAGATTTAGATTGTCCACCTCCTTTGGGACGTGGGATTTTGACAAAGTGCTAAGTGTTGAAGACAAGTATGTGTCGGCCTACAAATTCTTCCCAAGAATGCATCTCATGGTTGCAGAGCTGCCCGATTGCAGATCTACTCACATCCAATCTCTTCGATGTGAGTTCGCCCAATGTGCGGAGTTCGTGGCCTATAGGAACTCTGGACTTGTTCCGGTCATGGTGAACTACATGACAGTGCCTGCCATCATCAGCGACTCTCGCAACTCCTTGGAGCCACAGGACCGGTGCTGTAGACCGGGGGATCGTCGGCAAGGCATGGACGACGGGCGATCGGCGATCGGCATGAATGGCTGACGTGGGACGGAGAGTTCTTGATTTCTCCACCTGTGAAGTTCCAACGCGTTTGTGTGGCTGCTCACCAGGTGCCAAAGGCAACAAAGAGACCTCTCCTCGTCGCCCTTTTAAAGGGTTGGCCCATTCAAATGTTGTTCCAAGGGGTCCCTGACCTTCTGGAATATGTTTCTGAATCTTTGCAATTATTTTGACCTAGAACAATGGAAGGTCTGGGAAACAGCGTCAAGGTCTCTTGGAATAATACTTGAGTTTGAGGTAGGGGGTGAGTGAGGAATATGTTCTTATTCATTCAGTGATCCATTCAGATGTTCAACCCTCAGAATAATTGTGTGTAGTGTGGAACCCCCCCCGGAATCATTGCTGGAACCTTTTCTATATATAGTTCTTTCACCACGTGCAGCGGTGGCCCCTCGGCACCAGCCCCTTTTGGGTGCGAACTGCCACGTCACAAGACTACAAGGTCGCTTTTGGCAGAGCAACACGCTCAAGGGCCATAGGAGGGACACGCGTGGGAATCTGCATGGCACTGGCGATTGGCAAGATTTCTCGTATGCCTAGCATTGTCAAAAACGTGTCGTCTCAGCAAAGTCGGGCCACGGTGAGGATGTTTGTACCCAATGCCTTTTGGCCCTCTCCAACCTTTGCAAGCTGTCACGGCCTCGACAGGCGCGAAGCACTCTGATATGAGCGCATGCATGCTCATGCTCCATCCAGTCATAGTTCGTTGCTTTCTTTGTTGAAGGGGCGACACGAAATTCCAGTCTCCAAAATCGGCTGGACGAGCGTCAGTTTGTGAAACCACAGCTGGACGGACAGCTTAAGTGTCAGCATGTGGATGAAAAAGTGTCCACTTGCAAATCGCCTTGTTCACGAGGAACAGGCAGCCTTGGCCGGAGCCATCCCGAAGTTGCAGGCCATTGTGGAGCGGCAGCGGCCTGTTTGAAGTTGATGAAGCTGTCAAGCAATGACTGGGAAAGCTATGCGAAGGTGCTTTAACGCACACCTCTTGACACGGTTCTCATCCGGGGAGGGTGGGTTTGCTTTCTGCACCCATCAAGGCTTTTGGCTTCGAAATGCCAAGTGCCACTTTGTTTGTTTGTTTGTTTAGCCCAGTGCCAAATGCCAAGGCCAAGAAGAGGTAGTAGTTAGGTAGCTAGTAGAAGCTAGGTAGCTAGTAGAAGCTAGGCAGCTAGTAGCTTAAGTAGCTACTACCTAGGACGCAGGATAGCGCACGCTTCTTCAATGAAGCTCCCCCTGCCCTTGAACAATCGCTCGCACTATTCATTTGGTTCCTAGATGTTTAGGAAAACTTCAATGCCAATAAAGTTCCGAGAGGGTAAGAGAGGGTACATTGTCCGCTCCTTTTCGCTCCTGTTTATTCTACCATTGGGTGCCTTAAAGGGCCCCGCCTGCTCAGACAAATTCAGACAACTACAGACCCCCCATTCTTGCCAGAGCCTCCAGCGAAACCACAGTGATGTGATCGAAAGGAGTATATATGTATTTCGATTCCGTTCTGGATGCTTGAGCATATCAAGTATATTATATAGTGGTATATAGTGTCCCGCCTTTTTTGCGAGCAAGCCTCCCAAGGCACCCCTGGAGGGAGCATGCCTTCCTGCTGCTTTGCGAGATGACGTGTGCCTCCTTGGCTACGAGAAAGAAGTTGCCTGAGCAGCGGTGGAGTAGGGTGTTCCCTTTTCGATGGAAACAAAGATTCGCTTCAACTCACCGCACTCAGAACCGACAAGGAAGTGTTCAGGATTGAATAAGCACTGAAAAGACAAAATGAACCAGGAATAGGTTTCGGAATACCATCCAAGAACACACCCGGAAGGGCAAACATAGGCTAGATAGCTAACTGGTGATGGTTTGGGAATGTTTGGGAGATGGAGGTTTCCATCAATGGGGGCGCCCCAAAACGGAGGGTCTATGATTAAACAACCCATTAAATTTTATGATTTGGTGGTCTCCCCATTTATGGAAACCCTCGGATATTGTTGTGTTATGTTGGTGCTTGTTTCATGTTTCCTCAAGGGTTATCTACTGTACTCCAGTTGAGTCTCACAAACCACTCTCGTCCCGACAGTCCAGCGGGCCAAGGCTTTGGGATTCGAACGGCGCGAGCTTCTTGGTGCGCAGCTTGGCGCAGGAGTCCACGCAGGTCCCTGCACTGGAAGCGCTGGTGGGCTGGTTTGGCGTAAAGGACAGGCGTTTGCACTGGGTTTAGCGGGCTCGGTTTGGTGGAATGACATTGGGGGCATGTGTGCGCCTGCCACCCGAAACAACAGCGACCCCCTGCCGTGCCAGGAGCATCATGCCAATTGGTGCAAAAATCTTGAGACTCTGCTGCTGAAGGGTCCGGACTTCTTGATGCGACTTCTGAAGATCTTCAAGTGTCAGGACCCTCGGTTTGACCGCCGCATTGGTATGTCCGCCAGGGTTGACTGCCTGATGGTCATGCCTGCCGTGAGCGGCGTGAGCGCTTGTGTGTTTCACCGGTGCCATCCGAGGGGCTGACTGTGCAATGATCTTTGGTTGTCGGGGATGAGAGATGAATGGCCAGAACAATGTTCTTATTCAATATGCTTACCATGCATTACCGATGCGTTGGAGAAATCGAATCGAAAGGCCACACCTTTGATTGTCGGGAGTTTGGAGGTCTCAACCAAAGATTTGCAACATTGCACCCTGAACAATTTCTGAAGGTCTTTGGAGGTTGGGACCTGTTTCAATCCAAGAGAACTTCCAACTTCACAATCTCAAGTTGCCGATTTGCTTGGGAACACAGCAGTCTCAGTCCCACGATGCTTGAGGACAGCGCATTGTTCCTGAAGATATTGGATCCGCTGCTGAAGCTGGTGACCTGCTCCCCCGAGACCCGAACGCAGCTGGCCAACTTCGAGGATTTCCTGCTGGAGCTGCTGCGGCGGCTGGAAGCCGATGAAGACGAACGCCCGAGTGGCCACTTGGCATCATGTTGGAAGGGAAAACACATGAAAACACGTTGGAGGTTCAAAAAATCATCAAATAATCTAACAGACACTGTTGATGTTGTTGTTCCTTGTTCACCCTGTCCAGAGAAGAAGTCCGTTGTCACTTCTTAGGGCAAAGCCACTGAATGCCCCGCATGCCCCCCAAAATAGAATCCAAACACCGAGCCCAACCTGATAAACTCTGAGGCAAGGTCCCCTTCGACCGCTGCAACTCCATGAATGCAGCCCCAGCGCACTTTCCGGATGACTTCGATGCAGACGGTAGCAAGGCAAAAACAGAACGGAAGCCCTGTGCGAGTCGAGCTTGGGTATGGGTGAGCTCATCAGGAGAGTTTGAAGATGTTTGAAGTGTGGAACTTGAACTCAACAAAAACTGGCATCCGTAGGTAGAGAAGTGCTTTGGGGTGCTTCAATCAGAAGCCGGCATTGCAAGGGAGTAGAGCCCATTGCCTTCCCAAGCAGCCATCACCCCATTGCATATAACATGAACCCAGTGAAGCAAAGATTCTGTCCTGAATTGTAAAGGTGTTCCTTTTCTACGGGTTCAGTGGCGGATCTCCACGCATCGCAATCGGACCAGTTGCTTGGCCGCGTTTGTTTGACCAGGCGGCGCCAGTGAGGCGGATGATCAGCGCGCAGTTGGACAACGATGACGCGGTGCACGTAAGACAGTCCTTGCTGCGGCTGCTGCTGCAGCTGTGCCAGCCGTTAAGCAAGGCACCGTGGCACTGCGGGGCTGATGGCTAGAGGCTATAGAAGATGTTGGTGCGTACAGTCAGACACAAACTGAGTCTTGGTAAAGATGCTCAAATCCCAGCAGCAGGCGGAAGAAGAGACTTCTCGTTGAGGGGGCAATAAGCGGCTGTAGGAAGGGCATGATCAGGGGATTGTGTTGCATTTTAGGGAAACAAGATTGTTAGAAGAAAACTGACTGGAGGAGCACCTGGCCACGTTGGTGTTGCGCTTCCGCTTGAAGCAGCAGCTGCGTCGGGTGTTGGATGAGGAGAAGCGACGCCAACGGGTGATTCTGAGGGCCATTGCGCAGCAATTGCTGGTCGCTTGGTCACGGACTGGTTCACAGTAGACCGGATTTTTGGGGACGGGTTCACGACCACATAATAAGCCTCACATTTTGATACAATTTTTACATATTTGTACATTATGCCAGCATAGACCCCAAACAGTTTCAGTTGCTTTGCGTCAACTCCTTGAATTCGAATGTTGGTGGTAACGTCGGGCATTGTATTCCTAGCCTCAAGCTGTTTGGGAACGGCATGGAACAGCATGCACGCAAAGAATTAATGGTTCCTGATTCGCGGGTCGCGGGTGCAAAAACACAGATGTATGTCACGAGAATGTCGGAGGGCTACAATTGAAACGCTGTACCGCCGTTGCATGCATAGCCACAAGAAGAAACGGACAAGGCGGTGGAGATTCCGGGAAAGCGAGACAAGGCTCGGACAAGGCGGTGATAAAAGGACCTGGACAAGGCAGAGAAGGCAGGGCCCACAGCGGCAGGAGGACACTAGCAGGAAAAACAAGAGGGGTCAGAGGACAGCAGGAGGACACCAGGATGACAAGAAGGACACAGGGTTCAGGACACCAGGAGGACAAGCGAAGGACAGGGCTCGCAAGCGTGGCATGAGAACAGCAGGAGGGCACTAGCACAGAAGGACAAAAGGAGGACACAGGGCTTGCCAGCGCGGCCAGAATACAGCGCCAGCGGCAGAAGACAGCCGGAAATTCACAAGCGCAGCCCGAGGGCACCAGAAGGACACCAAAACCACACAAGGAGGACACAGGGCTTGCGAGCGCAGAGCGAGGACAGCAGGAGGACAGCAGGACACCAAGAGGACAGAAGAAAGGACACAGGTTTCGCAAGCGCGGCCAGTGAAGAGAACCCCAACAGTAAACTGTTTGGGGAACAAAAGGCTGAACTAGACCTCCCAAGTGGCAGCTTTCATAGCCAAAGTTTTGCAAACGGGCACTGGTGCTCTACAAGTCACCGACTCAAAGCTTTGACGGCGGTAGGGGTGAGAGTTGGGATGGGTCGGAAGAGAGGACAAACCCGGGAGAGGTGCATGAACAGAATAACAGGAATCTACAAAAACGCACAGATATCGCATTGCTTCCCGTGTGTTTCACGGGTCGCCCGATCCCAGCACAAGCCCCAGCGTTTGGCCCACTAGGTGATGTTCCAGAATGCGGCTCCCGACGAGGGGAATGCGACAGCACACAACTCGACAACTTTCAGTTGAGCATCATTCAGGCAACTTACATGTGATCAGTGGCCAGAGATTTGCATGGTTTCAAGCAAGACATGGTCAGACTAGTTTGTGTGTTGGTGAGTGATTTCCTTTACAGCCTTTGCAGTTTTTTGGCATGACTGCATCCCAGAAAAGTAGGCCCACTCCGTGGCCACTGATGAAGCTTTTGGCAATCCCTCGATGCATGTCACGGCTGGTAGGACGTTGTCGGTTGGGGTTGGACCGTACCTGGGTTTGGCACAGGTTCTACCACGCCCCACATGCCCAAGCAAGATTGAAAATATATAGATCATTTTGACCACAGGATGGGGTTGCGCAAGCTCGCCAGGTGCTTATGGCAGCCCTTTGGCTTCGGTTCGGCTGGCTGAAGACACATCAAAGTTGGAAAGCCATCATATCAAGCTAGGCTGCCACAAGGTGCGAGATGGTCCTACTCAAGCATGGTGTCCATTGCTTTCCTGTGTCTTTGTGTTCGGAGGGTCCCGGATGGTTCAGGGGACCTGCCAAAGCGATGCAACGTGTCTCTTTCGACATTTCGACCCAGATGGCACCTCCCAAGACCAGCGCTGGTTGCGAGGAAAAATATCCTCCTCGCGGCGGCGGCGCAAACAGTGCGGCGCGTGGACCGAAGCTACATACATCCCGTTCCATCCTGCATCACCCATGCCGAGAGAGGAGCCGTTCGAAAGGCCTCATTGGCTCAGTTGGAAAACACCAACCTCACACTTTTCGGTCAAAAGAGTCAAAAGGAAGACTGGTACTTCAAACAAGCGAATTCGCTTCGCTTGAAGGCAAGGCCCTGCTCACAGCTCGGCACAACCTTGAACCGAAACGCTTTCCTGTGAGCCCGATGGTGGAGTCGATTTCTTTCCAGGGCTCCAACTCCAGAACCTTCATAGAGGAGTACACAGCTCATTCCCAATTTGCATAGACTGCGATTGTTCAACGAGCAATTTGCAGGATGATGCAGCTGTGTTTTCCGTTCAGTCTTGACATGGAAGATTAAAAAATATCCCAAGGGCCACGAGAATGTTCTTGTACAAAAATACTAAAACACCCCACGGTTCAAGCGCTGGGGCTGCCCAACACGTGAACCTGACCCAGCAAGGTGAGGGAGTCGAAGAGCACCGCGGTTTACCAGAGAGGGAGGGAGCTGGTGATCGTTGACTGGATGAAAGTCCAAAGAAACCCCAACAAGTAACGTTGGTAGTTTGTGTTGGTGTGGCAGGAAAATGCAGGAAGACGCTGCAGGTGGTCCCAAAACTCCATCAGGGATGGTCCATGTTAGCCAAATTGAAGACCAGGTGTTTTGCTTGCGTTAGGCTGAGTTCTTCACAGGCCTTCCAAGGTAGTGGCTTCCTATTGTCCCATTTTCAAGTCTGCTGTTCCAGCGCAGTCCATGTGAAATAACACCTGGATCTGGATTCAGCATTTTTGCTTTTAAAAGAACACCCCTTAGCAGGGCGTTCGTGTACCTCACTATTCTGCCTCAAAGTCGTCACCTATATACAGTTGTTTGTCAATCTGAGACGGGAAACATGAGTGGCCTCCACACCGTTGTCCCATGCTTGCTTTGTATTTGTGTTTGCTGTTATTCGACGGTTGTTTCGTAGGATGGGCATCTCGTTCTTGAACCTTGCGTTCGCCGGGTTCGAATTGGTCGTTGGCACATTGAATGGACCCAGGCCTTCGAAATCCTTCGAATGTGGATGGAAATGTTTGATGTAGTGCACCAAGATGAGTGGTTGTCAAAGGAAAACCCCAGACAATGTGCAAAAGGCGGGACAAAGGTTTTTTCTGGTTGCACGACATCTACAAGTTGTGGGTGGGTCTCAATATGTCTCAATGTAGGCCCATGAAGTCGGTGAAAGATGTTCAAATTGGTTCTAGTATTTGTGGCCCCCGGCTCGACCTCACTGAGGGCCGAGGCAGTCGAGTCACCGGAGCATGTGAAGATTGACGTGGAGGGCGAGGACCATGTGCCGCCCTCATCCGGGGGAGCTGGGCAGGTCTCAGTTGATCGATTGGGCCAGTCGGCGATTCATTTTTTCGACGACATCCTGGCAGGTGGCCCCTGAGGAGGAAGGCAGACGGTCCAGCTGCTTGGCTGTGAGGACGAACTCAGGGGAATTCAGCCATTGAAAGCTGATAAAAATAGAAGGCCATCGCTACTAGGGTGGAGGCCATCGCTACTAGGCGAAGGCCATCGCTGAGAAAAATCGAAATCCCTGTTCTCCTCACGTTTCCTTCCTCCTCTTCTCACCAAGGCGAGAGGAGCAAAGGCGGAAAAAGGCACCCGAGCTCGTCGGCGTGAGCGAGCTCGCTCTTCGTAGCTCTTCGGTCCGGGAGACATTTGACAGCGGGTAGGGATCCTTTGCTCAAATATATAGCTGATGGTACTTTTACAGTACTAAAGTCCCGGACCTGCATCTTCCTTAAGCAAAAGTTTGATGGGATGGACGTTCACACTTGCTCAGTCATGTTCCAGCCACATGTTTTGCAGTGTTTAGTCATGCAGTTTATTCTTGGCAAGTCCCTTTTGTCGGCAATTAGATATCGAGGGATTTATGAGGGTTCTCTCCTCCTCCTCCTCCTCCTCTTCCTCCTCCTCCTCCTCCTCATCATCATCATCATCCAATAATTTTGTGTTGTAACTGCTCAGTACTCAAACCCCTCCACTATTATCCTCTACTTCTGTGTGGTATGGGGGTTCGAATTCTAGGTTGTTTCCAGACAAGTTTTGCATGCGTCAACTGTAAGGCGGTCCATCAACCATACCAAACAAGTGCCAACAGGATCCTGCATCACCTAAGAGCCTGCGGGGATGGTTGGTCCACCTTCTATATCTTTCATTCCGGAACTGCGACAAACTTGCTGTGCAAGATGACACATACCACAGAATCGGTCCGCCGGGACACTCCCAACCCGGACACTCCCAACGCCTGCAGATACAGATGGAAATGGACAGCCCAGAATCTTTATCATTCCTGCATCGCGCAGTCCGCGGTGTTTAAGTAATGCCTGGTCTCCCATCCATCAGCAAATTGGGCACCATTGCTCCCAGGACTTCCTGTCAGGAGCCTACACTCCCTGAAATAATCATGGACCATGGAAGTGAGTATATACCAAATCTACCAAACAGGTGGGTTTCCACTTCCATGATGATTTTCCAGGGATTGTAACCTTGTTGAATCATGTCCTCTTCGTTACCCTTTTTTTGCTTCGCCAGGCCAAGCATCGGAAGCTTCCGAGCTGAAACCGAACTCTATGTGCCCCGGTGAGACGTGCCGCTGGATGAATGGGATCCCAGTGGTCCTCTATGGGTGATCCAAAAAGGAATCTTCTCCCTGGATCTACTGTAATGTCGTCCCTTGATTTATAAACCCCCCCTCTCAACAACCAAGACCTCCAAAATAATATATAAGAAAATCAATCAATTGATAATTAAATAAGGAATCCTTAGCTAGCTACCTCTGGAGCTACTCTGGCAATACTAAAATATGAAAGGAATCAAGAAACCTAACTTTGAAGACATCTGGACTACCCGCTTTGCTTGAATGTAAACGAATAGAGGGTAAGTAAAGCAAATCAAAAGGCAAAGAAAAGGTATATATAAAGATTTAAAGCCTCAAATCTCTAGACATTATTCTAGGGGCCCCTCTAAATAATGTCAGAAAGCTGCTTGCTGGACTACCGCCTTTGCTTGAATGATTTTTTGTTGTTGTTCAATACTTTTGAAGAAGGGATTTTATAAAGAAAGTGCGCACTGACTTTTGGAAACTTTTGGAAAGCTTCAAAACTAAAGAGCTTAGGAGAAGTAAATAAGGAATAGATGGTGAGTAAAGCAAATCAAAAGGCAAAGAAAAGGAAAACATATTTAAAGCCTCAAATCTCTAGACATTATTCTAGGGCCCCTCCCTAAATAATGTCAGAAAGCTGCTTGCTGGACTACCCCCTTTGCTTGAATGATTTTTTTGTTTTCCAATACTTTTGAATAAGAGATTTTATAAAGAAAGTGCATCAAATCTCAATGGAAATCTCCAAATGTTTAATAGAAATCTCCATCCAAAAGCCTGTAAGATAAGCAAATCCCAGCAAACTCAAAAGGGAAAAAGTAAACTATAACATATTCCACTACAACTACCCCTCAAAAAAATACATTATTCTGGGGGCCTTTATAAATCTGTGCAGGAAAAAAAGTCATATCAGTCTTCAACACGTTCGACTTAGTGGACCTTCGTTGAAATGACGCCGCCATATGTCACGCTCAAGTTCGAAAGCTCATCTCCCCGCATGGGCTATCACGTCCCGCTTGTCTTGAGGGCTGTGCTGCTGTTGCAGACGAGCTGCATTGGACTTTTGGCCTGGCAGCAGCATAGCCACTGGACATTGCAGAGGGAACTGGTGGGGTTGCGTGTTGAGCTCCAATTTTTGCGGGAGGCTGAGTGGGGTGCTGGAGGTGGAGGGGGCGACCAAGACCCAAGCCCTGTTGGGATCGGAAATCCTGTTGACCGGCCAGAGTTTTCGAAGGACCGGCAACAGGCTCTCAAAGGGCAGTTGGGTTACAGTGCAGACACGTGCCTTGTTGGCTTGGGCATTGCATTGGTTGGCGTACTTTTGATCTTGATTGCATTGGGATATTTGTACAATCAGTTCATTGCCACACGGGTTGACAAAGGTGTGTTGAGCTCCCCTTCAAACAAACAGCAACTGGCACAGAGACAGCTGGCAGAGCTCCGACTTCGACGTCATGGCTTTGCTCAATAGGTACATCCTCATTGAGTACGACATTGGAGGACCGAGGCTTTGGCACGAACGACTGGCCCTAGAGCATGTTTCCGGCGACACCTACATAGTAGTCACCCCGGATCGGGATGCTGAGGAGCTGGGGCTGCTAAACAGTGACATTCGTCACATCCGAGTCCGGGCTGCCGCAAATGTAGACCCCCCGGGTGTGAATGCCGCTGAAATCTATGGGTTGCCAGCTTGGGGGCAAAATGATATGAACTCCATCCGGGATGAGGCCAGACAGTTAGCAGAGCAGGAAAGACGGGCACTACATGCAGGTGGGGTCGTTGCTGCGCCTCCCATGGGGGCGGGAGTTGGTCCGCCTGCTGGGGCCCTCCGGCTGCCGCTGTTGTGCCACAGGCCTTTGACCCCAACGTTGGATATCCTGCAGGGACCTTGAAGTGGCTTGCAGCAGAATCAACAGAACAATACAAACATGGGCAGGAGGTTAGCATGGGAGCAGCATTGAGCAAGGGTGCAAAACTGGCTCAGGCTATGCCGGGCGGGTATGTGCTTTTTGTCGAGTGTGTTGATGGTGCTGATTTTCATGATTTGATGCAGAAGCCAGCTCGAGGAGATTGCAGGATCTTGGATGTTGGCCTGAATGCTTTGGGCCATCCTGGGAGGAGCATTCGGGAGATTGCCTCAATGTGCAAGGAAGTCCCGGTGAAATGGGTCCTTCCGGGGCCCCGGACGGCGAAGTGGTGTGTGAACTACTTGTCGGTGGAAGGGCTCGGATTTGAGGGCCACCATGAGCGCCTGAGACAGGTCGCCAAAGTTGATGCTTCATCGTGGGGCATACAGGAACACTTCCAGCTGACTATGAGCCTGAGGCAGGCACTTCTGGTGGACCAGTTGGACGCCTTCAATTTGCTATCCGTTGAGATCCAGTTTCGCCGGCTTCAAACCATTGAATACTCCTACAGTGAGAAGGCTCGCGACATGGAGTCCAAGGCGGTGGGAGGCCGGTTGAGTTTGGAAGAGCAGACAACATTTGGCGGTATTACAAGGCAGTTTGCAACGCTGATGATTTGCCCAGATCTTTTCGGCCATGTCAAAAGCGAAGTGGAGAAGGAAGCTTCTTTGGCAAAGAACATCAGGAAGGCGCGAGAGGAGCGGGAAGCGGCCCGCAAGGGTGGCAAGAAGGGCGAGAAGGAAAACCCTTGAGGAGTCGGGTGCGGGGAAGCGCCGGCCATGGCTGTCCCGCAGAACCCAGCCGGAGTTCAGATGATAGACGATGCCCTCGAGATATTTTTCCAATACCGCCCACGCATGTTTCAGAATTTGTTTACGGCTGCAAGTCTCGCAAAACACAGCAGAGGAGAGGCCGTCGGAGGTTTTTTGAGGCTGAGGTGAACAGAACTATAGATTCCCTCAATCAGATGTATGGAAGGCCTGGGTTACAGCATTGTGGAGGACTTGACTTGGAAAACTACGGAAACCTATCAATATAAACCGCTATAAAAATAATACTAAACTTTTTTGAGGCTTTAGCCACATATCCTTCAGCCCATTGCTGTTTAAAGACAATATACAGAATTGGTGTTCAATTCATGAGGCAGAACAAAAGAGTTTGGACAAGGACGGCGAGATTCCCAAAGGTTTTGAAGCATTGGCATCTAAAGCGAAAGATGCCGTGGAAAGACTCTTGAAGGAGGGAAAGAAAATCGCCAACCAGATTGAAGACAAGGCCTTGATCAAGAACGGGTTTTACCACGCTGACAGGCCATCTCAACGACCTGAACCATTGGTCTATGTTCCAGGAACTGCCCAACAAATCAGTGCCATCCAAGGCAACTTTGGAGTCCTTCGTGGGGAAGATTGCAGTCGATGTGGATCGCAGGTCCAGGCAGTTGAATTCATTGAACCTCGAGTCCCTTGGCGGCCTTTGATCCCGAATTGGTTTCGCTTCCCTCAGGGACCCTCTCACCGGTCCCCTTGGAGGATCTGCTTGGCCAAAACGGGCAACATGAGGTGAAGGAATTTTCATCGAGCCAAACTCTTGCAGCGGCCCAGGCCCGGGAGAAGATGGAGGCAATGGGTTTGGGGCGTAGTTATGAGGATCCACAGTTCAGACAAAAAGATGTTTATGTGGGTTTTGTCAACAGGTTGCTTCGCTTGGGCATGTTGGATTTGAGCATTCAGCCACCTGCAGAACGAACAGGAATGTTTCTGGTGAAGAAGAAAGGAGGTCGCCAGAGGCTGATTTTTGACTGCAGGAGGAGCAACTGCTACTTCACGGAGCCTACTCCCATTAAACTGGCCACTGGTGATTCAATTGGTCGGCTGGAGACTGGGAGAACCCCTCTTTATTGTGCTTCAGCAGATCTTGCCAATGCTTTTTACACAATGTCGATGCCGCAGGAACTTCGTCAGTTTTTTGGGTTGCGATCCTTGACAGCTGGGGAAACAGCTGTCGATGAAGTGGATGGCATCAAAGTTGGACCGGAGCAGTTGGTTCACCCCCGCATTGCCGTAGTGCCCAAGGGGTGGAGCTGGGCCATGTACTGGTGCCAACACATCAACGAACATCTGTGTGAGGAGGCTGGCTTGACACCTGAGGAGCGCTTGAGAGATGGGGAACCCGTGAAAGCGGGCTCATTGTGGCATATCCAATATGTTGGCAACCTGCACCTTTTTGGAACAGACAAAACAGTGGTTGAGAACAGGTTTTGGAAGGCAGTTGAAAGGTTGAGGAGTGCTGGCTTGACAGTCCATGAGATTGAAGTTAGTGAAGGCAGCGCCGAAGTCTTGGGCTGGAAGGTTGAAGAGGGTGGCATTTTGAGGCCCACCTTGAAGAGATTGTGGCGTATACGCACTGCAATCCGGGAACTCCTGCGAAGAGGACGTGCTAGCGGGCAGCAGCTCGAGCGGTTGCTGGGACACATGACCTATGTTTCACTTTGTCGGCGAGAAGCGCTCTCGGTGCTCGGGGAGTGCTACACCCTTTGCAAGCGACGCTACAAAGCATTGGTGCCCTTGTGGAAAAGTGTGCGCAAGGAGCTGGCAATTTGGGATGGCATTAGTGTTCTCATTTACAGCAACATGCGGAGCTGTTGGTCTAGCACAGTGTATGCCGTCGATGCTTCGGAGTGGGGTCTGGGGGTCGCAACCGGTGAGTTTGCAACCTCAGAAGTGCGGACGCTTGGATCTTTTCTGGAGCGTTGGAGGTTTAAGGATGAAGCAGCTAGGAATCCAAGAGCTTTTGCAAGGGCACCAGATGAAGCTGTTTTTGGAGGGGCAGGGATTGCAGACCAAGCAATGGACACAAACACCTTTCAGACTGTTGGTTTCTGGGCCGTTGATCGGGACTGGCAGGTCGTTGGCAGAAACAAGTGGTCACAGCAAGAGTCTATGCCAGTGTACGAGGCTCGAGCTTCGCTTTTTGCCGTGAAGCATGCTTTAAGAAACGTCACAAATTTTGGCAAGAGACATGCTGTTTTGACAGATTCACTTACTGCTTCAGTCGCATTGGTTGAACAATATCCTTATGTACTTTAGCTGTCGTGTTTTACAATTGGCACTTCAACTGCATGTACCCTTCACCATGGAAAACCCCAGCCGTTCAAGACAGTGGATTTGCCCATCAGTGTTGCGAGCCATGCGCCGCAGATTTGTTCAGACTGTTGACGTCACCTATTGTGCTTTTGGAACTGCTTGGAAAAGGCCTACAAAAATTCTCGGAGTTCACATTGATTTGTCAATTCTTGAGTCACATTACTGCCGAGGAAGCAAGCGAGGGCTTTGTTTGTTCACTGGTAAACCTCACCTGTCCGTGATGGGGCAATCGGGTGGGGTCTGGCGTGCAAAACTTGCAGAACCCTACCCAAGACCTTTTTGTCGACTTCTGGCCAAATGTTTTGATAATGTGGAGCTTGCGTTGACTGCACAAGAATTTGGTCGCCACCCCCTTTAACGGCGAACCAAAAGGCCACCGTGGCAAACTCGGGTGGCAAAGTTGGGCGCGTTGAATGTGATGCCTCTTTCTTCGAACTTGGCCTTTAGTCGTGAAGGTCTTCAAGACGAAGCAAGACTGGTGTGACTACACTGGCACTGGAAAAGAAGTGCAACGGGTCATTATTCTAGGGGGGTTTATAAATCTAGGGGCCACATTATATAGGATTACTGTATAGGTATTTTCTGTTCTTAAGCTTCACTATGTTTCACTATTGATTGCAATCCTGGTTGGGGGGTTGGCCTAGCCCATAGCCAAGGTGTCACCCTTATGTGCCGCCTTGTTTGGTGTGCACATACGTGATGTCCAAGATGTGGTTTGCATGTTTTGCGACGCAGTCACAAAGCAGGAACTACCCCTGAAAGTGGACTATGTTTTGGAGGTCGGATGAATTGGTGGGATGAGCCTCAACTTGGCGCGGTGCACGAACCAAACCAAGTGTTTGTGACACTTCTCAACCCACCGGTCAGGTGAGGATGGGGTCAGATGTTTTGTGTGCCTCCCCCTCACTGCAAGGGGAGGATGACGACCATGAGCATTCAGGTGTTACATTTGTCCCAAAACTTGGGACCTGAGTGGAAAGAACAGCGCCAGTGGATCCAGTCGTGCCAGTGGATCGGTTCTCTAAAATCATTCTGCATTCCATATGGGTTGAGAAGTGGCAAGACGAATTGGGCCAAGGGCGTGGGAAAAGAAGCAAAACAACCTACTGTAGCTGACCTAGTTTGGTGAATTTCTTTGGGTGCATCCGGAACCGCTCTTGCTGAGGCCATCCTGGGCATCGAGGCGAATGCCCAAGAAGCGGACATTCGCAGTTTGACTGCAGCGGGGTGAACGACCGCGCCGTCCCAAACTCCCCGGCATCGTGAAGGGGACCGGGCCTGCGGCTGAAGTTAGTGTTCTGATGATTTGGCACCTCCAACTGCAGGTGGTAGCAAGACTGCTTGGCCAGTACGCACAACTGTTCCGATTCCAAGTGCAACCTGTCCCCCTTTCTTGATGCTGATACGTCGTTTCCCAGTTGGGCCTTTAGATTTGATGCAGAGATCACGCTCCACGAACGCGGCTGCCGAGGAAGCGCCTACAAGCGCTGTGCCCTGCAACTGCACCCTGACAAGGGCGGAGATCCGGACAAGTTCAAAACGATGACGCTGGGACGTTAAGGACGTTAAGAATCGTTTGGTGAAGACTGAAGACTTCAAAACAATCCTCACGTCTCACTTATTAGCTTTGGTAGGCAAACTTGCGTTGCAGAGTAGAAACATGAGCCACATGAGACATCATGAGACTCTGTCATGAGACCCTTTGGGAGACCCAAACAATCCCAAAAACCACGGTCTCATGGTCTCATCCACAACCTAGACAGCAGCTGATGGGTCTCGGCTGCCCGCTTGCATCTCAGGAAGGAAGCCTACGAAGTCCATTCCTCAGGGATTCTGAGGATTCCACTTGCTTTGTTGAGTTGTTGGCCAAATTGAGGTGCTGAGCAATCCTCAGAAGCGAGCCGTTTATGATCTTCATGGAATGGAAGGAATCAGATGTATGGAGCAGGCAGCGCAGATGGAAGCCAACATGTCGAAGCCTAACTGCAGTGATATCCCAAATTGAGAGCATTGCAGCCCTCCATTCTCCCAGAAATCAACTGGCCAAAAGGCTCGGACCAAGACGGGAAGCTACAGAGCTATACCATACTAGCCAAGGGAATAGATCCCCTCATCTTGGAGTGTAGTCCTATGCCTTCTTCCTTGTTTTTTGCTTTTTGCATGCTTTTGCTGTGACATGCCAAGCCCAGAGTCCGCTTTGCCAAGCCCAGGGACCTGACGCCCATGTTCGCGGCCATGATGCAGTTGGCACAGACTGGCTCGACCCGACGCAGCTCGGAGCGACTTCCTCACCTCGCGGCGCCCGACCGGGCCTCGTCGTCTCGCTCGAGGTGGTCAATTCCAGACGTTGATGGAGGTGTCACAAATGGTGAGGTTTGGTAGCAGGGTGTGTTTGTAAAGACACCGAGACGCGAGCATTGAGTACTTGGCAAAAGTTCAGCTATGCTCAAGGAACTGGCAGCATTCACGCGTATCGTTGGGGGCATGATTCCCGTTTAGCATGTCTTGTGGGTCCCTGTTCATTGTTCGAACTCCGAAACACGTTTGGTCTCGAAACGTAATGATGCGCGCGAACGACGAATGTCCTTGTGCTACCGGTATGTTCCATGCGAGGAGCGATACTGATCACTGTGATTGTGCTTTTGGCGACGCTTGGCCGCAGTGCCTGCTGAATAGGTTTTCTTTGACGTGGCTGGGGCTCAACAGGTTTTCAAGTTAAGAGAATCTTGGATAATAATATGGAAAGTATGGAATTACATTGAGCGAGCGCCACCCAGTATTCAGGCGTCCTGATGGCAAGCGTCGGTAAGCTGCGGGAGCCCTGCTACTCCCTTAGGGTAGCAGAAGGCAGCGTTGAACAGAGAGATTTCAGGGCATGGAAGTGATGGCCCGCCCCGTTGCCTCAATCACCGATAAGCTGGCGATGTTCGACGAAACCTAGACTCTCAGGCATACCCCTCCGCAAACTAACATGGAACCTGAGAATTGACCGGTGAAAGACCATTTTCCTCTACAACTCAGTGGTTTTGGTGGAAGACCAGTTTCCTCTACAACCCAGTGGTTTTGGGGTTCCATCGGTTCCATGTTAATCTGCAGGGGAAGCTCAGTCATGTTGGCACTGTTTGAGTACTGACAATGCATGCACCTCAGACAACATTGCCTTTTGTTTGCTAGACACTGTTTCTTCACAGAATGGATTTGCTTCACTTGAATGATCCGTGACAAGGGAGGGTTGATCGTTGATGCCAGTGATCAGCATTGACAAACCTGAGGTGTGTTTTGATGCTGCCCTTTCTGCTGGTGACCTTGAAATTGGATGGTGCGACCTCCTTTTCCTGGCCGGTCGCTGCCATTCCTTCCTGGAAGCTCAGTTCTGGCCCGCCCGAAGCCGGGGAATTACGAAGCCGGAACCGGAGATCGTTTTGGAGATCAAGTCAGGTCACCCAAATCAGAGGAACGACAATAAGACACACACACACATAGATATATATATATATGTATACAGTGTTGTTGTTTTAAAGCCCAGCGGGGTGGTAGTTAGGCCGCTAGGAAGATGATGTAAGCATGGTAAGCTAGGCCAGGCTAGCTAGTAGCTATTAGGTACTGGACGCTCCTAGATACTGGACGCAGGATAGCTCACGCTTCTTCCCCCCGCCCTGTTCATTTGGTTCCAGCAAGTCGTGTTGTGGCTACGCATCACAGGGTAGTTCACACTATCCAAGTGCATCCAAGGATCCTTCAACTGGTGGCTTTGCCGGTGCCTCAAAAAGTCGTAAAGAGCTATATATATATTATATATTAGTTCTTGCTGCCTTAGAACGTGTCAAAGGTACTGATATCGGTCAGCATTGCAATGAATTCTGGCCCAATGCCAAGTCGAATGGGGAAGATAGCAGAAGAATGCACTTTTGCAGTCTCGCACTGACACAGCAAGAAAATAGACCACATCAGAAATTGTTTACCAGTGGCTCACTGGATCATGTCATATCTTGGGTCTGTCCTATTACCTGTAACAGTCAGTGAACAATTATCCCTACTTTTGGACAAGGCCTCTACTAACCATCATCACCCACTGTTACAGGTAGCCCTGGTTCGAGATACTTACCAGCAACAAGTGGGGCGGTTTCGTGCTGAGCATCTCGGTTCTTGCCATGGATGATCCACCGGACTCTGCCTTCTTTCATGGAAGGAAAGGGTCCTTCATGTCTGATGGATGTGAGGGTAACGTTCTGCTAGCTTCTACGGTTGGGCGTGGCATCCCTAGCATGGTTGTGAAGATTCATCTTGCTCCTTGCTACATGGACCTTTTGCCAAAGGGTACTAGATTTGTTCTTCGGCAGTTCACACTGTCTTTCGATGATGCTGGCCCTTGCATTGTTGGATGCCTCCATGGAGGAGATTTGATGCCTTTGATCTTGGCGCCACGGTCAAGTAACAACATGGCTGAATTGTTCTCAGGGTTGGGTGGCTGGTCTAGCACGCTGCCTTCCTTTGGAGCAGATATCACAGTTGCAGTAGAGAAGAACGAAGAGGTGGCTAGGATGCATGCTTTGACTGCAAAGATCGAAGCCCTACCACTGGCATCTGCTATAGGAAAACTCCATCAGAAGAATTTGCCACGGAAGTTCATCCTCATTGCCGACCTTGAGGAGGAATTGACCTGGTATTTCCTTTCATGGTTGAAGATTGCATTCTGGCTAGCCAGTCCTCCATGCCAGTCTTGGTCAACGGCTGGCCACATGGAAGGCCTTGCCTCGCCCAATGGAAGTCTCATCAAGAGTACGACTTCCTGGATGATGGACATGGGTGCGAAAGCAATCTTGCTTGAAAACGTGCCAGGACTGACAAGTCATCAAGACTTCGATGAGGTAAAGAAGAATTTCCATGCCCATGCATACCATTTGGTGTTGGATTCCGTCGAGGACGTCTTCCCCATCCAAGCCATTCATCGCACAAGATGGCTTGGGTTGGCAGTACCAAAGGACATCCAACTGTCCTTGTCGACCTTGGAGTATGTGAAAGCAATTCACCTGCCAAAGGTATTCCCCCAGATCGGTATGAACAACTCCATGATGATTGCTGGTGTCTTCAACGATAAGATACAAGAATGGGAATGGCCACAATTGATCCCAACGCCAGCTGCTGTTGAGATGGCCAAGGACAACTCCTTTGTCCCACGTGCACTCCGGAAGGGAAACAAGCTGCTGGGTCGGGAGGAGATCATGGCTATGAGAACAATTTCGCACCATCAGCCTATTCCGAGCATCATGGCAAGTTACATGAGACAGCATGAGATCAGCAGGCATCTCTTGGCCAAAAATGGCCTCCATGTTTGGTTCGTGCAGGACCTCGACAAGATCCGGTACGCAACTCCCCATGAGGTGGCCTTTGCAATGGGACACCCAAGCAATTTGGTCCTTCCCTTGAATTACCCTGCTGCCTTTCAGATGGTTGGTAACTCGCTTGCCTACGGTCATGCAGCTCTGTTGATTTGGAAGACTCATCTGCTCATGGGTGATGATTCACCATTTGTGACCTCCATTCAGCATGTCAATGACCTGGCGAAGCACATCCTGGACAGACAGCCCAAGTTCTGTGAAAGAGTTGCAGTCCGACGAGACAATGTTGTGACCATTGAGATGGCCTGTGGCGACAATTTTGCCGAGCTGCGCCTGAAAGTCATCAGTACAGAAGCCCAGGAATTAGCATTTGATCGTGATGTGGATACTTCCGACATGGACAACATGTCGGACAGCTTGATTGAACCCACACCTGCAAAGGTGCAAAAGACACAGGCGTCAGCCATCACGCCAACTGTGCCTTACGAAGTTGACGCAGGCTTTGCTGGCGTACCAATTCTCCATGGGGATGATTTGGTTGGGCTGAACATTCATCCTGACCGCCTTCGCATCACAAGGCCTGATGATTCCATGATCGAGGAGCTGAAAATTGTGCCTGATGACGTCCTGACAAAGTGGGAGGAGGGTCAGGTTATTCATGTAGCCAACATGCACCCGGTGCAAATCCTCCACAGCAGTGGATGCTGGTCGGCCGCGGCATGGACTAAGGATGGAGTGTCTGTGAGGAATGTTTTCCAGTTGATGTTGCCCCATGTTGTTGATGAGCACATCCTTGCAATACAATATGGTGTAGAGGAACTGGACCTTGATGACCTGTTGCCGCCGTGTGAGGATGTTCAGACAGTGCTCATGTTTGAACCACAGCAATTTGATCGACTCATTGTGCCGGATTTTGTTGCTGAAGCTTTTATTGCATCAGTTGATTGCTGTTGGACATTTCGTGACTTGTGTGCCTTTGTTGCTGCCAAGTGCAATGCCCTAGTCACAAAGGTTGGAATTTTTGATGGGGATGCACAAATGCCGGAAGCTGCATATGTTGTCCAACAGTTCTCCACCCAGTTTCGTGCAGCACTACTCCCAGCTACGCTGGAAGTCAAGCAGTTGATCCCGAGGCAAGCATGTCCACTCACGCTTTCGGAGCATGTGACTGTCGAAGGTATCCGTGTCAGGAACCCATTGCATAGTGAGAATGCCCTAACGTCTGATGCAGGTCACATCCGGATTGCAGCCCGATGTCCGAAGTGGGGTACAATCAGACCCATTTCATGCAGGAAAGACATGCATGTTGAGCTCATGACCACGCAGCTGTTCCCACATATGTGTGATGATGCTCGCCTGTCCATTGTAGTTAACTCTGCTAGTCTTGCAGGGTGCACCAAGATTGAACAATTGCTCAAGTATGATCATGTGGAAGTACATTTCATTGGTCCCAAGCCGTGGCCTGCTGCTAAGGTCGAACTCCTTGTGCCTTTCGTTCCTGGTGAGCCACAGGACCCGGAGTGCACAACAAAGGTATGGATCAAGGGGCCTTTTGATCATCGAGCCAAGTTGCAAATTGTTGACCTAGACTGGACTGTCACAAGAGTTGCTGCCGCATATCAGACCATGCATAAGAGCACACTCACGATGTTCGCCACACAGCATGGTAAAGGTGTCGATTCTCGGTTGACATTCCGCCAGATATGCACGGACCATGAGCTGCACATCCGAGCTTGTGCCTTGCCTGGGGGTGCCAGGAACACCGATGATATTGCCAAAGTGTTGGAGCCACTCCTCCGAGCGCGTGGTGTACCGCCTGATTCAACACCAGGCAGGATCAAGACCATTCTTTCTAAGATAGACCATGCAGAACTCCGTGCCGCCCTGAGTGATGAGCATTATACTTTGTGGGCCAAGCTGAAGGACTGGGCTAATGAAGCCAAGATTAGACTGGTGACCACAGATGAGCTCCGCAACCACCAGAAGCAGGCAAGATCGCTTGAACATAGGACAACAAAGTCTGAAAAGCGTGCGTGGAAGACACCAGTGCAGACCCATGTTGAGGTTGATACGCAGCATTTCAAAGCGGGTGACCAAGTTGTCCCTCAAATTGACATTGCCCAATTCGCGCCTGATGCCAAGGGACTTGCAGTTGTGACCAAGGAAGAAGCTGCCAAGTGTCTGCCTGTGCGACCGATTTCCAGTGATCCACTCGGGCTCATCATCCTGAGTAATCAGCCAATTGCAGGTGTTGCGCCGATCACAATCACAGCCACAGATGCCAAGAAGAGACCTATCCTTGTCTCTGCGATCCTCTTGAATTTTGGTGACCCGATTATTGAGCACAAGCCATCCTTGCTGCACGCAACATTGGTTGAAACACCAGTGGCTGTGATTGAATTTGTGATCAAGCGTGATATGGTCAACAATTGGAGTGAAGTCCAGGCACCCCTGGCCTATTTGGGGCTTCATGTCCCTGAGATGCGCAAGCAAACGGTCACTGAAACCTGGTCGATTGCTGCCTATGATGATTCCAGATGGCGAGTTCCGCATGAGGATGCCGCATATGTCCATGGATATGCAAAGGTGCGCAAAGAGCAGTGTGATGCAATCTTGCGCCGATCTGGTTTGGCCGGCATTTTTCTCTTGCCTCGCACCCAAGACAAAAAGAAAGACCTTGCGTATTCGTTGATTCAGCTGCCAGGCAAGTCCTTAGATGAAGCCATTTCCATTGCAAAGGACTATCCCAAATCCTTGGGTGTGGTTGAATGCTTCGCCAGCTATGCACTTCGCACTAGGAGAGAAGATGCCAATGAAATGCGAACCAAGATCCACCCAAACAGCATTGCCATCCAGGAAGGAAAGATTGCGCCAGACTCCCTTTGGTTTCTACTCAAGGGCTTGCGCAAACAGACCACCTGTGAGGATCTGACCAAGCTCCTCATTTCGGTTGGCTGGGTTGATGCGTCAGCAATCAAACCCAAAGGAATGGCTTGGCTCATTTGTGCACCTCAAGAGCCACCTGCTTCATACATGCAGATTGATGATGACCTTGTTTCGATAGCAAAGATTGGACAGGAGAAGCAATCTGAGTCTAGCAAGCTGACCGGAAATGCACAATTCGTCCCAAAGCCAAATCTTATCACACCAGTAGCTGTCTCGCCGGCCTCCACAGGCCCCTCGACTGCTTCTGCACGTTTTGATGAGCTTGAAGACAAATTGACCAAAAAGATGACAGACATGTTCATGTGCAAATCTGCTGAGACGGACGAGAAGTTTGGCAAGTTGCAAGAGCAGGTGGTCCAGCAAAGCACTGCCATTCAAGATTTGCACAAGAGACATGATGATTTTGCCGCCCAGCAAATTGATGCCGGGAACAAGCAGGTTGAAACATCCAACAAGTTGGATCGCCTA